AAAAAAAAAAAAAAAAAAAAGTACCCAACTAGAGAATATTTCAACATGGTATAAAATCAAAATATCCAAAGGAAATGTTATGTTGATAATCACAGGTGTGTAACTGTTTTAAGAGGCTAATTTAATTTCCATGGTTAGCCTCCAGTGTCTGTCAGGAATGTTTCTAGAATTATTTTAAGGGAGTAATAAAATATTACTTGATTCCACAAACTTATTCTGATACTACAATATATAAATAATTTTAATATTATTAGTAATTAATTGTATTGAATACACAGTGAAATACTATTTAGCCATAAAAAAAGGGGGGGGGGAATCTTGCCATTTTCAAGAATACAGATGGACCTTGGTCATTACACTAAGTGAAGTCAGACATGAAAAGATAAATACTATATGATCTATGGAGAATCAAAGAAAATCAAGCTCATAGGAATAGAAATCAGATTTGTGATTGTCAGAGCTAAGGATTTGAAGGTAGGAGATTGGGTGAAAGGTATTTCCAATTAAGTTCTGGAGATATAACGTCCACCATGGTGACTATACTTAACATTACTATATTGAATATTTGATAACTGAATTAATAAAAGTTCTCATAAGGAAAAAAGGGTAATTAGGTGAGGTAAGGTATGGTTAACTAAACTCACTGTGGTAATCCTTTTACATTATATACATATTAAATCATTTTGCTGTATGTCTTAAACAGTGTTATATGTTGACTGGTGGTGGTGGTTTAGTCGCTAAGTCATGTCTTAACTCTTGCGACCTCATGGACTGTAGCCTGTCAGGCTCCTCTGTCCGTGGGGTTTCCCAGGCAAAGATACTGGAGTTGGTTTGTCTATCCTTCTCCAGGGGATCTCCCAGACCCAGGGGTTGAACCCACATTTCTCCTGCATTGCAGGTGGATTCTTTACCATTGAGCCACCACGGAAGAACCTATATGTTGATTATATCTCAATAAAACTGGGAAAATACTCATGTATTTATTAAGTAAAATTTGTGCCTATATGCATATATATTACCAGCAGGCAGGTTTTTATATTGACAATAAAATAATGGCAATTAAGTCTATTAATAATCTATCTGTTAGTCACTCAATCATGTCCAACTCTTTGCAACCCCATGGACTGTGGCCTGCCAGGCTCTCCTGTCCATGGACTTCTCCAGGCAAGAATAATGGAGTGGGGAGACATTCTCTTCTCCAGGGCATCTTCCCAACCTAGGAATCGAACCCGGGTCTCCTGCATCGTAGGCAGATTCTTTACTAGCTGAACCAGCACAGAAGCCCAATCATCATCATCTATCAATTCTTTATTTGTGATTTCTTTGTACTGGACTGCCACTTTAAATTTAACTGGATTTTGCTGTTTTGATATTTTCTATTACCGTAAAAATAATTATTATAACATTTAATGAATGATTCTCTCATTTTTAGTAAGATCAGTCTATGCTATGGAACTATTAGTTTCCCAGATGTCCCTTCAAAGTTTATGCTACTTTCCTGTGTAACAGTATTACAAATTGACATTTCTCAAGCTAACACTACCAGAGAAGCAAACTGCCCACTCCTTGTTGTAAACCATTATCTTACATTATTAGCACAGAGGTACTTACTCAGTTATAAACTCAGGGTTTGTAAAGCTGAGGTTGGTTAAAGGACCTTCAAGTTTAGAAGATTCGTGCGTGTTTAAGGCTGGAGTGGTCTTAGTGCCGAGTACAGCTCTTTTTTCATCTTTTTCAAGTGCTTTTCTCTTCCCACCATTTTGGAAATATTCTCTGCACACACTACAAAATAAAGTTATATTTTAAACAATAGGTATGGATGTAAAATTAAAATGGACAAATATTACCCTTTATTAATAAAAATGGGGAATTTTTCAATTATAGTTTCATATTTTTAGAATGTCACACAGAGGTTAAGTTTGAGTACCTGCAGCACTTTCAAATTTTTTAAATTACCATACAACAAAGCATGATCATAGATTATGTTTAATAAATTAGAAGTGTTTACCCAGAAGCATAATACCTATATGTTTTGCTGAACTTTATTCTTAGCTAAAACATAAGTTCCTCCAGAAAAGCTTAGATAACTCTGCTATACAGTGGCACATTCAAAAAGAACAGTAGTCACAGTTAATTCTGATCCAGCTCTGCTGGTAGCACAGCTGTTTTTCAGATCCCTCCTAGTTTATAAAAACAAAGTCACAAAATCAGGTTGCCAACATAGAAAGAAGAGCATAAAAATCTAGTTCAGGTAAAAATAGTATCATATTATAAAGGTATGCATTCAGAAAGAACAAAGGTTTGAATATAATAGTGATTTTTATAATACCTGGAAATTATTCCTACCCATCAAGAGACCATTACTGTTTGTCCCAATTTTTATAATATAAATGAATACTAAAATGCAGATTTTTCAAGATATATTGGAAAATATAAGCCCATTATCAGGTTGTTATCTAGAATCAGACACTAATGACTGGTATTAACATTAAATATTAAACGATTTTCTTCATACCAAATACAATTTTGGAGAAGGAAATGGCAACCCACTCCAGTATTCTTGCTTGGAGAATCCCGTGGACAGAGGAGCGTGGTGGGCTACTGTCCACGGGGTCGTAAAGAGTTAGACACGACTGAGTGACTAATACACAATATAATTTTAGTAGGAATATAGTAGGGTACCATGCCTGGGTATATAACAGGGCAATAAATATGAACCACAGAATCAACTCAAGATATTCACTAGCTATTAAAGACAAGAAACTTAAAAGGAAAAAAAGACTGCTGTGATCTGCCTCTGGCCCTTGAGCTTATTACATGACAGGAGACACACAATTAAACAATTAACTGATATACTTATCAAAGTTTAAAGTGAATGTGAATGGAAGCTAAACAAATCTTTCTTTACAGAGTCTTAAAGGTGGCTCAGATGGTAAAGCATCTGCCTACAATGCTGGAGACCGGGGTTCAATCCCTGGGTCAGGAAGATCTCCTGGAGAAGGAAATGGCAACTCACTCCAGTATTCTTGCCTGGAAAATCCCAGGGACGGAGGAGCCTGACAGGCTACAGCCCATGGGGTTGCAAAAAGTCAGATACGACTGAGCAACTTCACTTCACTTCACTTCAAACCATTATTACTCCATATAGCTCATTCTCTGAACAAATATGGACTATTTTTCTTCACAGACACTGCCTGATACAGTTCCATAAACACATGGCTAGAGAAGAACTGAAAAAGTACTTTAAAACTAATTTTTGCAAGTACAACTATGGTGTCTAAGGAAACAGTGCCCATTTCTCCTCACACCTAAAAAAATACTATTAGCTCAACTTCGATTTGCCTAAATATCTACTAAAGACGTCTTTAACTGATCCTATGGAGATTTAATTTTAACTCAAATTATACACAAGAGTTGAAACTCATTTATCATTAGTCAAACATTTATTAACTACCTATCATGTGCCAGGCACACAGGTGATGGGAAAGAAAATTGAAGAAGACATTGCTGCTTTCAAGGAGCTCAAACTAGTCAAGGAGACAGTTATATAATAAAGAAAATATAATTTATAAATACCTATCATTCAGTCTAAAATCAGTAGTATAAAAGCTGATTTTAGGAAGATGAGTAGGAATAAATCAGGCTAGGAAGAATGTTAGTTAAGGAGGAAAGTCCTTTCCTGGTAGAGAACAGCATGAGCAAAGTCAAGGAAGAGAAAAGCATCATGGATTCTGCAGAGACAGACATCACTTCAAGGCATGTGAAATTTAAAGTGCCAGGCAGAAAATGCACTGATGGACTCATAAATGAAAAGGCCAAAGAGAGGAATGATAGCCAGGTGACACTTGAAGAGATAAGCAAACTTCAGATCATGAAAGACTGACAGGCCAATGTAGGAATGTGGCCTTTAGAAATCTAACCTAATGACAGAAGTGATTTACTGGTTTCTTGGAGTGGGGGGTAAGGCTGACTACAAAGGTATATATTAGAGCTTTTTAGAGTAATGGAAAAGTTTTATATCTTGACATGGTGGTGGTACATAAGTGTAAACAACTATCAGTACTCACTAAACTGTACACTAAAATGGGTGTATTTTATTGTATGTTAATTAAACCTCTGTAGGGTTAATTAAATACAGCCTTAAAACCTTGGAATTAATACTAAAAATAATACCTTTATCATATACACAAGGGTAAAAAGATTGCTTACTTTTCTATCAGGTGGAACCATACAGAACTGCTGATATTCAATAGTTCTTGATCCACAAACACTGCAAAACTGAACCAAATTTATATGGCTCAGTCTCATAATTACCTAGAAGCTGGACTGCAAAATACTTAAAAGGGCTAGGATTCCAGATACTCACAGGATAATAACCACTATCTAAATACCAATCTCCATACACAAGTTCCAAAAAATATACAAACCATTAGGATAAGAGCACACACAGCTCATACCTATGGCATATCTAGGAAATAGGAATAGTACCTAATTATATATGTAATTTGGAGATAGAAATCTGAGGCCAACTGAGTTGGCTTTGGAATTATCCAAGTACAGAATCAGATGAGGACTATGTAAAAGAGGAAGGTATGGTGAGGTCCCTGAGGTGGCAAAAAAAAAAAAACCCAGATAATACCAGCTAAGGTTTACTACCAAGATAGTCCAATTCTGACTGGAGAAACCTTAAGAATGCAGAATGCAGTGAAATAAAGCATTAGCCACAGGAAGGCCAAAAAGAAAAATTTTGAAAGGTGTATGAGAAGGGCTGTCGCCAAAGGTGAAAGCCTTGAGAAGGTGTTATTTCTGAGGGAGAAAGGAAGCACCATGAAAAAAGGGGGTATCTCTGGAGGTGTTGATAAAGGATGCTGATAAAGGGAAGGAATGAAGCAATGAAGAATAAAGAGTATACTGACGTAAGTTATACCTATTAAAAAATCCATACATCAGCCAAAAGAGGATGATATTTATTAAAGGAACTCCACTTATATATTTATAGCAATCAAACAAGGCTCTATGGAATTAAGAAACCAAGTAAGTCACCCAAACCCCTAACTATACATCTAGAGACATATAGCCAAAACACATTAAAAAAAAGGTCCAATAAACCCAGCAACCATACAAGTTTCTATTAGAAGGAAAGACAAATCGAAACTTTTTCAGTAGATGAAAATTCTTAAAAACATAAAAAATAAAAACTATAAAAGAGAAGAAAATTGTAACATAATACTTCAATATTAATTATATATAATCAAACAATTGCAGATATGAAAAAAACATTTCAAATCGGAGATTAAATAAAAAGCTGAGGATAAAGAAGAACTAAATAAATAGCCAGATATTCCATGAATATGAATAGGAAGACTCAATACTGTCACTATGTTAGTTCTTCTCAAATTTATACATACAACACAATCCCAATCAGAAGCAGAGCAAAATACAATATCGACAAAACAAATGGTTTCTGAAGTTTACACGGATTGGCAGAAGATCCAGGATAGCCAACATAGTATTGACGGAGAAGTACAAAGTTGGAGGACTGACGCATTCTGATTTCAAGACATAATATAAAGCTAATACTATACTATTATTAGTAGTAATCAGGGACAGTATATTGTTGGCAAAACAACAGACAAATAGATCAATGGGAACAGAATAGAGAGCCCAGATATAGGTACACATAAATACATTTAACCGATCTCTGACAAAGGAGCAAAGGTAACACAGTGCAGTAAAGATAGTCTTTTAAACCAATAATGCTGAAACTGGATCACTTCAGTTCAGTTCAGTCGCTCAGTCATGTCCGACTCTTTGCAACCCCATGAACCACAGCATGCCAGGCCTTCCTGTCCATCACCAACTCCCGGAGTCCACCCAAACCCATGTCCATCGAGTCGATGATGCCATCCAACCATCTCATCCTGTCATCCCCTTCTCCTCCTGCCCTCAATCTTTCCCAGCATGAGGGTCTTTTCCAATGTCAGTTCTTCGCATCAGGTGGTCAAAGTATTGGAGTTTCAGCTTCAGCATCAGTTCTTCCAGTGAATATTCAGGACTGATTTCCTTTAGGATGGACTGGTTGGATCTCCTTGCAGTCCAAGGGACTCTCAAGAGTTTCCTCCAACACCACAGTTCAAAAGCATGAAACTGGATACTGAATACCAAAAATGAACCTAGACACAGACAATACAACCTTCACAAGATTAACTCCAAATGGATTACAGACCTAAATGTAAAACACAAAACTATAAAACTCTTCAGAGAGTTTCATAAACTTCCAGGAGAAAATCTAGATGACTTTGGATGTTGTATCTAAAAAGCCATGGTCAAATGCAAGTCACAATCGATAAAAGAAAAAAACTGAAAAGCTAGACTTCACTAAAATAAAAAAAACTTCTGCACTGCAAAAGACAATGCCAAGAGAATGAGAAGACAAGTCATAGACTAGAAGAAAATGTCTTCAAAAGATATATCTAATAAAGGACTGTTATCCAAAATATACAAAGAATTCTTGAAACTCAACATTAAGAACATAAACAACCTGATTAAAAAATGGGCAAAAGACCTAAATGGACACCACAGTAAAGAAGGTGTAAATTTCAAATTTGAAATATTCAAATTTTCAAATTTGAAATATAAATTTCAAATAAGCTTAAGAAAAGATGCTCCATGTCATATATCATTGGAGAAATAAATGTAAATTAAAATAGCAATGAGATACAATACCTTATTAGAATGACCAAAATCCAGAACACTTAACAACACCGAATGCTGGTGAAGAT